ACGCCCCCAAGGCCGTGCTTTCCCCCCTAACCCAGAGTGGACTCAGTTCTCCTTACTTCCGAGCTCAAGGAGACTCAACAGTTTTGCAGTCAAGGGAACCCAAGCCACCAAGTTTTGAGGGACTAAATCTGACCTCAAAGTGTCTAATGGAGGCTTAAAGCCCCAAAGCGGGGCTTGGATGCTCTCCTCCGTCAACCAGTGACTGGAGACAGGTTGTCCTTGGTTAGCTGGGGTGCCCTTGAACTGCCTGAGACCTTCCAATGGCCTAAAAGCAACCAGATCCAACCCAAAGCCAGTTCTCCACTTGGAGAGCAGGAAGACAAGGCCAGAGGACGTGGGGACTTGGGAACTGCCCACCGAGCACGCCTGAAACACCCAACGCTCGCTCCCATTTTCCAACCTTGGCAAACGCAGCTGCCCTCCCCAGCACAGCCTTGCCGCCCCCTAACCCACCCAGGGACAAGCCCCAGCCCCTTCCCCGATCCCACTGGTTTGGGATGCTGCAGAAGAAACACCACCCACTCGGTCCCGTGGCTGGACCCCCTCCAGGCACCAACCCAACCCGGGAAATCGGAAGGAAACGGAGTTTGCACAAGACGTGAAACTACTCGGAGACTGCCGCAGCCAGAGCGACCCGCAGAAGCGAAGCCCCCCACCCCCCCAGGACCCCATCCCTTGATCCCTGTTGGAGTTTTGTGCTTTTCCAACCAGAGCAGAGAAGCCCCTTCACCCCGCTCACAGTCCCCCCGTGCCCCACGCGCGCTCCCAGTAATCTTGACCCGCAGGAGCTGCTGGTATAACTGGTACACAGCCCCTCCTCTGGGGAAGGCAGAGCAGCCCCCTTTTCGGGGTGTACGGGGATGCAAATCTTCCCTGGAGCCACCCCTGCTCCCAGACATCTCCCAGAAGGCCACGTCTGTCCGGTCACCCAAAGAGGGACAAGATGCCACCCCTAAACATCAACCCCCACGGCCGGGGGTGCAGCTCTGTCAGGGCAGCAACCGCCTTACAACCAGGGAGGAACCCGGGCGCCCACCCATCGCCTGGGTCCTCGGGGGGCGGGGGGGGCGGATGGGGAGGGGGCGGCGGTGCCTTCAGCACGGCCTCGGAGAGCAGCTGAAATGCCAAAACAATCATCACTCCGCGGGAGCACCCGACAAACAAGTCGTTTCGTCTCGTTTCTGTTCGTTTCGTCGTGTCCGTGCCCTCTCCCCGCACACCCGCCTCCTCTCCCCTCACAAAACCTGTGTTCGTTTTGGGGTTGGTTGGTTGTTTTTTTTTTGTTTTGTTTTGTTTTGTTTTGTTTTGTTTTTTTTATTATTTCTGTTAATATCTTGAACTGTAAATGTTGTTTAGTTATGACCATTGCATACTGCTTTGGGCAATGTTTCTTTACAATGCATACTAATATATTATGGTTATTATATATGAATATATTTAATGACACGTGAAAAAGTTGTGGATTTTCTTATTGTTTTTCCAAGTTGTTTTTTTTTCTTGTTTTTTTTTTTGGTTTTTTTTTTTTTTTTTTCCTCTTCGTTTGTTTGTTTTGTTAGATTGGCTGTAATTGAACCCGAAGGAGCTTGTAACTGTTCAGCACCCACTCGGTAGAACTAAAGTCAGAAACCAGTTGAATAAACTCTTGTAAACTGTAAAAATCTCCAAGAATCTCTGCTTCCTCCCACCCTGTGGGCCGGTGAACCCGAGGGACGGGGACCCGGGCGGGGAGGTGACGGTGTCCCCTCGGCCTCCCCAGGTCCCTGTCGATGTCCCCTTGGCACGCTCCGAGCTGGTGCACAGCTATTTTGGACCGGCCGCCCCGGCCGCGGGTCCCACCAGCATCCTCGCCCAGCAGAGCTCCCCACCAGTGACCGTGTGCCCTTGGGGACAGCGGGGGTCACCGCAGGCTCACGGCGGGTGGGCTGGGGAGGGGAGGGGAGGGGAGGGGGGGGTCCCCATCCGCACCTCTGGGCTCTCTGGGTTTGCTGTGAGCTCACCCCGCGCAGAGGGGGGGTGAGCAGGCGTGGGGACGGGGGACGGCCAGAGCCTGGGCTCGGGGGGAGCTGCCAACCCCACTCCGGATCCATTTTTCTGCCCCATCCACAGGCTGTTTGCCTTTTCTGCCCATCCACTGCAGGGGGTCGGGCTCCATCGCCCACCTCCCACGGGGCATCAGCGGTGCCAGGCGCTGCTGGAGCAGCCGGCACTTGAGAGCAGGCAAGGGCTGGCGGTACAAACAAGCTGGAGAGCTGGAGGTGGGGGGAACTGAGGCAGGAAAACGCTTCTAGAGAGAAAATACAGGCAAAAGGTCCTGCAAACCGCCAAGGGGTCAGCCTACCTGACCCACACCCTTAGCATCGCTGGTAATTTATGAATCTGAAAACAACCGAGAGGTCAGAAATCTCAGATCTTTATTGCGGAGACAAATGGGTCACAAGTGCCACCACCTCTGGCTCCGGGGCTGTCGCCTCCGGCTCCACAGAGAAGCAAATGGGTTTCCCAGATTGCTCGGGCTCCGCGTCCTCCTGGCAGGCGGCCGGTTGTCCAAAGAAGACACGATGGCTCTGAAAAGAGGGAAAGAGCCTGTTGCCACCGAGGGCCGGACCAGGAGTGCTTGCTCCCAGCCCGGTCCCACCAGGCAGCAGCCGCCCACTGTGCTGAGCTCAGCACCGAGCTCACACCCGGCCTCCAGAAATAAGGGCAGGTGAAAAGAAAGGCCCAGCAGCCTTTCAAAGATCATCTTTATGCGCATGTAGGAGCTAGGGACTTCTTATCAAGGGCACTTGGAAGTTTAAGTGCCTCTAACACATACCAGACCTGCCCCCAGCACTCACATTTTTTGATGAAATAACAACTGGAAGCAGCTAAACTCCCGAGCACGTCCTCCAAGAGAGAAATGAAGGAGATGCAGGGAAGGCACTGCCTGGGATGTCCCTCCGGGCACAGTCCCGGGGAACGGGGAACACCTTTGCTTGGAGAAGCCACCGCAGGTTCGTGCCTCCAGCAGCCCCCGGCACAGATGCAACGGGCAGCTGGAGCATCCTTTGCCCCGTGCCTGGAAATCAGAGCAGGCAGCACCACGGTGAAACCGCGCAAGCTGCGCTCTCCAACCCCTCCTGCTCAGAGCCAAACCCCAGCATTCTGATATTTTAACCTTCCTTTTTCTTTGCTGCGACAGGGAGACAGAAAAGCTTTCCACAACGCAGCGGAATGCTGCCAAATCTACTTCTTTTTAATAAAACTCCTCACCCACATGACACATTAAATGTTACCTAAAGGGCAAGTCTGAGATCCCCTTTGTTAGACATTTCAGCAAAGCAAAGCCTCCTGTTTCTACCTTTCCCAGGCACTAACAAAAAATGTGTTTGAGAACCCAACAGGTCAGAAAATATCTTTTTAAAGCCTCTATCAGAACAAAGTCACTATGTCACGTTGATCAGGATGAATTACGCATCCATCCTGCGCATCCTGGGAATTCAAACAAAACCTTCAATTCCCTTCGTAAATGACAGTTTTAATTAGAAACCCAAGCCCATAGTCTCATCTCAATAAACCATGTGTTATTCTCCTGCTGTCACCAAAGATCCATGGGGCTGCGGTGGAGCCGTGAGTGAGATCCCGCCGCAGGACTTGGGCACCGGCTGCTGCTGAGAAACAACTCCAGGAGTTTCCAGTGTTGGTCCCTCTGCAGAACTGCAGGAACGCACAAGTTTCGTCCATGTCTCCAAAGCCGCCAGTTATTTGTTTCCAGCTGGAGCAGCCTTGCTTAAAGCTCCATTTCTAATCCGAGATCGAGCAATAAACTAATCAAAAACCTGTTGTCTCCTCTTGAAAACCACAAGAACATAAAACGATCTTTTTTTTCCCCTCCCCTCCTTTAAAAGCTGTAAGATGAAGCTTCTCTCCAGGGAAAAGCAAGCAAGCAGGCACACCCTGCGTTAGCCTTCTAAAGGCTTCAAGGAGTTTCTCCAGCAAAGCACGTGGAAATGTGTGGAAGACCCGGCTCCATCCCAGCCCTGGGCATCATTCTGCGTCCTTTGCCGGTATCTAGTTACCAAGCCTGGATTTCCCACCTTTGGTAAATACCAGACGAGGATGCTGAAGCCAGCAAAGCACAGTCTGCCCGGCCTCAAGATTTCGAATCCCTCCGGAGAAGCTGGTCTCTCCTCCAGCTCCGACCTTCGGCGCTGAGCATTGCAAGACGGGCTGGGCACCGGCACACAGCCCTGTCTGAAGCCCACTACCCACGCCACGAGGCACAGCTGTATCTGCCTGGGTTTTTCTCCACCAAGCTCCTCTCTGCACCTACCTTGTGCCCTTCCCCGGAGCACACAGACAGGGCAGTGCTGCTCTTCAGCTGCAGGGCATTATTTCCATCCACCAACGATAGGTATGTATTCAGTGGGGTACAGCTCCCTGCCCCTGTTTCCTGCAAAACCCCCATCTTCTCTCCTCTGTCATTTCCACCTCAGATTTTGGAGCGACTGGGTCAAAGCCTCAGGTCCAGCCAACACCTGCACTCTGCAAGAAGAGCAATTTTGCACTCTGATCTGCAGATTACCAAGCACTTAACGGCAGGGCCAGTGCCCAAATCTCAACTGATAGATGGGGAAACTGAGCTCAGAAGAGCAAAATGGCTTTGTGTCACCCAAGAGGGGATGCAATACCAGGACACCCTGGTTTCCCACCTCCCAGACCAGCACTAGATGTGCCACCACCCCAGCTGGGCTGGTGAAGGGCAGGGAGAGGGAAACAAGTGCCGAGAGCCAGCCGAGAGCTGTGAAAGGAGATACTCCACCACAGCAGGCGAGGACCAGCCCAGGGCTGGCAAGTCTTACGGATCCACCAGGAAACGTATGTCAGGACACACATGAAGTCTGGCAGGAATGCTTTTTTCCTTCTCCAGATCAGCTCGTAGGAAATGGAAGTGCTGGAGAAATCGTTCAAGCAGGGCACAAGATGGTAGGAAACAATAAAAACTCAGGCGGATAAACTGTATATAAATGGATCAGCTTTTATTCGATATTTATTGCTTGCTCTATCAATTCTGAAATCAAACCGGCACATATAACAAAATAATGATTTTCTTGGCCAGAAGCGAACATTCAGTACTTCTTTTTCGTTAGTTTTGAAACAGGTAATCCTTCCTCTCAGTTTTAACAGTGTGTGAAAAGTTATAAAAGAAAGAGGCAGACCTCGACTGCCGAGATTAGTGCGTTAGTGCCAGCCCATCTCCTGGGGTCAGCCTGGCAGAGCACGGCCGAGCTCGTGGGGAGCACGTGCGGGGCCAGGCTCTCCCGACGTACACACCTGGTTTGAGACCTGCTGCTGTTCACCACTCTACCCACGGAGACCAACACCGGCAACTCTCCCCCAAGGGCCCAGGGCCGAGTGACTCGCCAGCGTTCCCGTGCAGCTCGTGGGGGTCCTGCGCGGCCTCGCCGGGCTCCGCCTGCTCTCGCTTCCCATCCTGCGAGCAGTCATTTCCCAAAACATTTGCTTCTTGAAAAAGGTAAGCGTTTTCATTCTGAAGGAAGGTGTCAGAAAGCAAAGGAGTGCCACCGCCGTACATCCAAACCACACCTGTATTTTAGTATATTTTAGCCGTCGGGATGCTCAGCCGAAGCGGCAGCGGGCCGGGCAGGCAGCACCCCGGTGCCAGTGCGTGCTCAGATGCAGATGCTGAGAAGTGCCGCGATTGTACAGCCAGCTGCAGCCTCCCGAGTGCCAAACGAAGGTGGGAAGAGAGTCCTTTTCAAGTTCAAACCCTTCACATCACGCAGCGCTCTTCAGCGGTGCTCTGAAGGAAGAACGGATGTCTGTCGGACACAGCTTCATTCTGGTACTGTTGGGTTTATCTAAAGCACGGAAGGTCTTTGCGCAAAGTCGGTCTCTTCTCGGAGTCCTCCGCGCTCAGCTGTCCAGCAGCAGCTCCGACGGGCCCCGCAGCCGCGTCAGTGTGTCGGCCAGACAGCAACCACACCAATCGCAATCAGCAGCAACACAATCACCACCAGCATTCCTGGAAAAGACGAAACCATGTTAAGGTTGCTGCCTTCGTCCTTTACAATTGGTCTTTTGCAATTAAATTCTTCCTCTGAGTCCCGCTCCTCCTCCAGCTGAGGCGGATTTCTCTCCCCGCTCACCCCATGCAAGCCCCTCACCAGATCCCTGCGCGCCGGTGACCTGAACGGAGATGTGGACTCAACCCCCATGTTGGCAGAGCAGTTCTTTCTCTTCCTGACCCTTCAAATTACTTTTTTGCAACAGTGCCTGCAGGGTATCTTCCTACTTAAACATCTGCCTTGCAAAGATTAAGGGATATGTTTAACTCACGGCAAGGCCAGTTAAGCTTTTCTAGAATCCCTCTGTACCATCCCACTGGGGCAAAGGATTATTTGGAAGGAAATCCAAATTGCACCAGGAAATTGTTTCCAATGCAAACTACTCCTGCTTTCAGACAAAACTATTTGCAGAGCAAAAGCAGGGCTTTTGGGTATGTACCTGACTCAGGAAAATGAAAATCAACCAGCATTAGAGCCTAACAGCACTCTGCTCAACCGTGCAGCTCCGTGTGCTCCATCCTGCCCCCAAACCGTACCTGCTGCTATGCAGAAGTTAACGACTAATACAATCTTATAAAATTTCACGACTACTTTTTAGTTTGGGCACATCATGCTGCTCTGAAGAAGGATGGTGTTAAAAAATGTAAGTTATGGATCATTTTGAAGACTGATCCAGAAAACCAGCGAAGCAGATTTTCCGTCTCTTGACCGAACGATAGCGAGAAGGCGGCACAGCTGTCAGACACCTGCTAGGGGAACCTAATTCTCCTTCGTTCCCCCTTTCTTAGGGGGAACTCTGTCCTTTCTCTCCCCTTTCTTAGAGGAGAGGAAGAAATGTTTTACTGAAAATGGACTGGATCCCTGTGGTCCACCCTCTCACCTCCCTGAGCAGCCGCAACACGCGAGCTCCTCGCACAGCCGGCTGGACCACGGCCCGCTTCAGGCGCTGGCATCACGCACACAGGCATCCTCTGGGGTTAAACCATCTTTTAATTAGGAGGCTTTTGGTTTTGTTTAGTATCTGCTCCTTGCTATCCCCTGCCTGAGCTGTGGGAATATGTTAGGGCTCCAAGAGCGGAAAAAATGTCCCTTCATTTGGTCTGCTCACAGATGACTATTACTCAACCACTTACAATATTTACAAGTCCAGCTCATGGCAATTAAAAAAGGATGTATTAAAATAAACTCCTCTTTCCAAGCTGGAAAAGGATATTAGACATCGCGTTTTGTAAATAGTGTCATGTTTTCTGTGCAGAAATTGTTTCTCTGCCAGAGGTCCAGAATTTTTTTTCCAGGGAAATAAGAGTTGCCACCAACAGTAATTTTTTTTTTTTTTTTTTTTTTTATGCTCGGCTGAAACCATTTGTTATCTGAAGTGAGCTCGAGCAGTGCTCCACTGCGCTGGCTCACGCAGGTCCCCACGCTGAGCGTTTCTTTTCCTCGTGGGAACAGCTGCCTGCAAAGGGAGACGGCAGCGGCTCCGCCTGGGGACGAGCCCCTTGGCGAGGCGGGGACGAGTCAGGCAAAGTCCCTGGGGAGCATCCCAGAGGCTGCTCCGGTCCCAGCTGCTGAGCCTCACCTCGGGTCAGTGTTCATCACTGTGAGCCCAAGCGGATTTGACCCAGCTGGATCTTGGACCATACACAGGCTACTTGCTCCGACCCACCAAAGGGATGGGACAGGGATGATGTTCGGTTCTCAACCTCGGCCACACACACAGCATCACCCAGCAACACGAACTGTTAGATAAATACACTGGGAACACGATCGAATCGATATTCTTGCCGTGTTTCTAGTCTCTTGCTTTGTACATCTTAACATACACTTTGTAGTCTTCAACAGAGCCAGAAGCAAATAATTTGCTTAGATTGGGAAGAAACAAGATCTGATAAAGCTGCTGCATCCAGATTCTCTGTTATGTTTTGCACTGGAGGGAAAAGTTTTAGAGGGTGCAAATCCTTAGCACAGTTTCAGTGTAAGAGTTTATGGACTTCAGCAATTAAGAGACAACCGAGATCAGGTGCTTGGAAAATACTCTATAGGTGTGAATTAGTAATGATACGAAGTGGAGTTAATGGAGCATAATTATGCTTTGACAACTCCCAAGAAAAATTGCACATAAACCCAGAATTATTACACAGCAGGAACAGGGGAAGGTGGGGGACTAATAAAGTATTGCTAATGGGCACTAACAGAATGAATAGGAAACTTCAGAGGACATTCAGGGCAACAGAAGTGGGACAGCAAAATGAAATAAACTTTGTTTTATTCCTGGAAAGAGACTGGTATTAAAACCCTGGAGCCACTTCTCTGTTTCCAAAAGCAGTGGTCAAGTACTTACTCCCCATGTGAGAGATGGAGAAGCAGAGATGGCACGTGTCGGTGCAATATAAATCAGCAATCCGCTTGTATTAAAGGCTTATCTGATCCGTGCAATATGCACAAAAAGAATAGGACGACATAAATTGGCAATAGCACACAAATTTCAAAGTACCTCTTGCATGATAGAGACCAGATGTTACACACATTTTTTCCCCGCTATACTACAGAATAGGAGATTAGAAGGATCTGAAGCTTTTAAACCTGGGTGTTTCACAGAGTACAACATGGTTTCCTAACAAAAACTGTGGATAGGATCTGACAGTAATTATGCATTCTAGATTCCTTGCCTGCTTTGCTTTTTTTTTGCCCAAGTCCTATGAAATATAAATATTCCCCTCAACAAGAACTCCTCAAAGAGAAGTTCAGGAATCAAAGCCACTAACAAAGTAAACAGGAGTCAGAGAAGAAAACATAAAAGATTCCTGCACAAAAGCAAACAGGGACAGGAATACAAATCTGAAATGAATTCTCAGGAAAAGGTGGAAAGTGCAAGCAGAAGTCTATGTGCAATTACAGAGCAATTAATTAAAGTGGGTTGGAGAGAGTGCAATGCTCTTGCAGCTCCATCTGCTAAAGAGCCTGAGACCCTGCTGCAGTTCCAGCCCTCGCAGAAACGCCGAGGGCCCGCTCTCAGCTTACGCCACGTTTCGGGACGCGAGGTCCCCCCGCCGGTCCCGGGCGCACCGGCACTCGCGCTGCTCTGCCGGGTTCAATCTCCCTGCTGAGACCTGCTGTGCCCCCGCACGACACCCTGCTCCCGAGCCCCCTGGGCAGCAGGAGGCTTCAGCACCCAAAACCTAGCAAAGCTGTTTCCCCAAAAAAGTTAAGATCAAATTTTCAGATATAAGATGGAAAAAAAAGGTTACTTAATTTATCTCTCGGTTCAGATCACCCTTTAGCCTGCCTCACTTCCCATCTGTCCAGCCGTGAGAGCAGAGGATCTGGGGTTCACCCCACCTTCCTGGGGTCATCTAGGGAAGCCCTTCTCCAAGTCCCAAATGTATTCCCTCCTCCCAGGACTTTTCAGCTTTGAGGGTCACTGGTTTGGGGTTCATCATGGACACCCTTCCCACCGTACCTAATTTAATTCCACACGAACTACCCAGCTGGGGTTCATATGGCAACGCAAATAATTCCTCCAGGTCTGAACCTGCCTGAAGGGCTTTGGGCATCCAGAAGATGATTCTGCAGCCCCAGTTTGCACTTTGGTTTCCAAGGGGTTAATGATCGGTGTAAATACAGGTGATGGCTGAGGACTCACTCCCTTGTGCCTCTTCAGCCAGACAGTAACTACCCCTGCGCGGTCAGGACTGTGTAACTCAAGGGCCTAAGTTCTCATTAAAAATAAGACCCCACTTGAAGTCCAAGCTCTCTGGTACACTGCCAGCCGCCCTCAGCGATGACAAACACCAGTCACACAGATGACAAGTCCAATAAATCATCTCATTTCCCTCTCTTCATCCCAACCTTTGCTGTTTTCCCATCACGGAGACCACAGACGTGCCTTGGAGCTGCACCACGCTGAGCACCGTGCGGCTCCGGCACACAGCACACCCCTGCCCTCCTGAGCAGCCCTCTCCTCTCGGTGCGGAGCCCTCGCTACAGGGGCTGCTCGCGTGTTACAGCCTACGCCGCGCTGCCGAAATCCCGGACGTGCCGCAGAGCTGCGAGAGGACAGAGAATAATTAACATTTCTGATTTGCGCTTCCATGAAGTTACAGGGTGCCATGTGCTAAATAAGCCCATTTGCCTCAAATAACTGCTATGAATCACAAATAACACTGATGAATTGGTTTCCTCGGAGAAGAGCGGATACCTACCGTCAGCCAGCAGCCGGCTTTTGTGTTTGTGATTAATCATCGAGACTTTCCAATTCCTTCTGCTGACTGTTCAGATGGAGGCATCTGAGACTCAACGATCTGCTGTTTTCTTTAAAGCGTTTTTAATTCCTAAGGCTAACGACGGCTGGAGCCCAGCAGAAATTTCTGCTCACAAGCCCTGCCGCCGCTGGAGAGACGAGCTCTCGCAGCACCCATACAAAGCAGCCGATTGTTGCTTGTCAACTGGGTGCTTATGCCAGCTTTCTGACAGGGCGATATTTACTGTGAAATATCCACTTATTGTGCTGAATATAACTCCTGGGAATCTGAGCGTGTTCAGGATCTGGCAGGGGTTCAAGGGCCTTTGAACAGGCAGCCAGGAACTTGGTCATAAATACATCGTGTTTTGACAAGTCCCTCTTGAATAAGTGTCAAAAGATTTCTGGTCTGCTTCTATCAGACTATTGATTTACCATTAAAATCACTCCACAGCCACGGAGTGGTGGCCACTGAGATTTAATGTAGTATCAGCTAGAGCACGCAGGTTCCGACAAGGTGTCTTGTGTTACAGCTTCACACGGGGAAGCCCCTGCAGAGGAGACCGTTGCACCTTTCTCCTTGGCATCCCCCGCTCCAGTAACAAGATCCCGGTTTCATTTTTATAAAGGCAGACTGGCAAGGTGCATTCCAGAGACTGAGGACACCCTTGTTTAACGGCACAAGCAACGTCAGCAACGCTGCAGCTCTTCTCCTCC